TGCAAGACACGCGTCTACAAGGAGTCGAGATGAGCTCGTCGAAGGGAACAGCTGCTGATTTGAGCAGATGCTGTATGCATCGATGAGCTGGGGATATGCGATTCGGTTCCCCAAAAAAGAGGGAGCCGTGCTTCGAGGTGATGGTGTCGGATCTTGAGACGCTCAGCTGTACTGAACAGTCCCTCCGGACGCCCTCAGCTTTGCTCTAGCATCTGCAGACACCGATACATGCGGATCAGTGACGTGCGGCAGCTTTGTTGCGAGTACTTTCCACAGTGCCACCCCACCGTGTTTCAGCTCACATTAGCTAGCTTTGGCTTCATCACCTTGCGCCAATAGTCTCTAGCTTGCACCCCTGTGCGTCCGCCGCACCTTTCGCCGATAGCAGCCCAGTCCATGGCAGGATAACCAAGGTCGCACATGCTCATGACCATGTCTTTGCGTTGCTCCGCCTGCATGAGCGCATACGTAGACCAGAGAGCGTAAACGTGCGGTACGTCGTTAGGCGCGCAGATCAGGTCGCTGGCCTACTCACGGTCCAGACACTTGCTGCTTGGCCCGTCTGTGGACGCTTTTTGTTGGGAGAGTTCGCTCCATTCGTCTCTTCATCGACCTCTTCCTTGGGGACATGCTTCTTCTTTGGACTGGTCTGACCTGTCGAGAGTCGTGCAGAAGAAGTTCTCTTTGGAGTGCCCTGCGAAGAGATTGGGGTGGGCGGGAGAAATGCTGGATCAGCATCAAGCGCAACTGTCGTAACAATCAACCACAAGCTGCGTTGCCTGTCATATCGTCGCATCATCAACGATGTGACTTGTGGGAGTCGCGCCACATTTCCACTCTTGCCTGAGGACATTGCATCATTCATCAACAGCTCCAGTCTTGCGACGCACCTTTGCAGTGCGTCTCGATGATGCCAATGGCGACGCACATTGCGCCTCGTCCATCTCCTCGTCTTCTGAGCTTGGCGCAGCCATCTTCTTGGGGCTCGCCGACGCTCTAGCGCGTTTCTTCGACTTGCTCTTTGACAGCAACGAGACAAAGAGAGAAACCTTTGCGTTAGCGACAGGGAAAGGAGCTGCCCTTCTTGGGAGAGTTGATATCTAGTTCTGGTAATGGGTGTGCCATCGGGAGTCCACAACAAGCTTGGGCTGCCTCACCAGGCCCATGGATCACATAGCCACCTCTTCTTATCGTCGTATGCCCTCTACACTGCCATCAGAATAACGGACGCACCTTCGTACTCTGATTGATCAACTTTTCCTGTTCGAAGCAGTTGTCTTCTGGCGCGCTGCTGTCCATGACGTCTTCTTCTTCTTGCTTCAGCACATCCCCCGGTCCGCTCTTCATCCTCTTCTTTGAGCAGTGTTGGGAATGCACTTAACTGCTTGTTGACGTGTTTACTGGTAGAAGCTAAAAGTCGGGGGCTGAAGTTCTGAAGGGAGGCAAGATGGAGGAAGGGCAATAAGAGCAATGAAAAGCAATGCGGTGGCTGCTGCAGCAGAAGAAGAAGAGACGCATCAAACGCGGCACTCAGAAGTCGACACAAGTACACACACATCCACGATCATGGCTCATATACCAGCCCCAACATGTTTCGAGTCAGCGAGCACCGATCACGTTCACATCCACCACCATTCAAATTCGGTAATCCATGCACACAGTTCGTGAATGATGATGAGTCGTGCCTCCGTATGCGAAGTCTTCTCTGAGCCTCTTGCCTCGCG